CGCTGCCCGAGGAATTCTGGGACTTGAAGTCCACACCTCACAAAATTTCCCCATTTTGAAAAACCCCACACACAATTCTTATGGCTTTTCCTTTCCTGTTCTAGTTTGGCGTTAAAGGATTTCATTTTCTTGGAGAAAAGCCACAATTTGAGTACACTGAATTGAAAAAAAAAAAAAAAAGCACCATATATTTGGCTGTCAGCCATTCCTATTCTCTGGTGTTTTGGCTTCATCTATTTTTTCCCCTACGTATAAAATGGTCGTAATAAGATGGGGAAAAAAAGGGGGGAAAAGAGAGAGACGAGAGGTGACTTTAAGCGATGGAGCTGGTTCCTTGCAGACTTGCCAGGAAAAACAATTAATATAGTTACTCTTGGATCACAAAGGCTATTGGCACTTTGAAGGTGCAAATATATATTCACAGCAGAAGTTTAACCAAATTAAAATGAGGACCATTTCCATATTTTCTACATATTAGCCAGCAAGGTATTTAAATATTCAGCATATGGTTTTTAAAAGAGAAAAAGAATGAAAGAAGACCTGAAATCAGAAATGCTCAAACATTTCAAACGCTTATAAATATTCTATCGCCGTTGGAGTGCAACAGAGAAGGTGTTAGAAGTTAAATACTTACCTCAATTTACGACCGCAATGGAGACCAACAGGTCTGTTGCTAAGCAAGACCGTTGTTGAGTGAGTTTTGCCCCATTTTACAACCTCTCTTGCCACCGTTGCCAAGGGGAAAATCCCTGGAGTTGTTAAGTGAGTCACACGGTTGTTAAGCAAATCGGGCTTCCCCAGGGACGATGATGTCGGAAGGTCGCAAAAGGGGATTGCGCAGCCCCTTTTGTGACATGGCAGCCGTCATAAATGGGAACCAGATGCCCAGGGTCTGAATTTTGATCACGTGACCGTGGGAATACTGCAATGGTCGTAAGTGTGAAATGCGATCATAAATCATTATTTTCAGTGCCGTTGTAAGTTGGAACGGTTACTGAATGAATTGTTGTAAGTCAAGGACTTATTTATAGTGTCTCTAAGAATCTTCCTTCCTTCCTTCTCTTTCCTCCTTCTCTTCCTTCCTTTCTTCTCTTCCTTCCTTCCTTCTTTCTTCCTTCCTTCCATTCTTCCCTTCCTTCATTTTTCCTTCCTTCCATCTTTCTTCCATCCTTCCTTTCTCTTCCTTCCTTTCTTTTTCTTCCTTCCTTCTCTTCCTTCCTTCTTCCTTCCTTTATTTTTCCTTCCTTCCTTCTCTTCCTTCTTTCTCCCTTCCTCTATTTTTCCTTCCTTCTCTTTCTTCCTTCATTTTTTCTTCCTTCCTTCTTTCTTCCATCCTTCCTTTCTGCTCTTCCTTCCTCCCTTCCTTCCTTTATTTTTCCTTCTTTCCTTCCTTCCTTCTCTTCCTTCCTTCCTTTATTTTTCCTTCCTTTCTTCCTTCCTTCCTTCCCTTCTTTTTTTCATCTTAAAAATATAACTGGGATTTTATCCCTCACTTCAGTGATTCAAAGTTTTCCCTGTGATGTTAAAGGAATTCAATTTACTTCACTTTTAAGGTTAATTTCTTATCAGTGTGTTTCACAGCTCCTTCTTGACTTACCCCCATGTTGTTTAGCGACCGCTCGACACAACAACAGTATTGACTTATGACCGGTCCTCACACTTTTGACTATCTGCATGATCACGTGATCAAACTTCAGCCAATGGGCGACCGGCATCTATTTACGAAGCTTGCCGTGTCCTAGGGGGGGTCACGTCATCACTATTGGTGACCTTCCCAGCTGGCTTCTGACAAACAAAGGATTCGCTTAACGGCCGTCGGATTCGCCGATCGAAATGCAGTGATCCCCTTAACAACCATGGTCCAAAAAAAGAAAAGGTTGCAAAATTGGGTGCCCCCTCACTTAACAATCTTAGTTAAGAAATGGTGGTTGCAAGTCAAAGGTTATCAGCAGTTGGTGGGATTCAACCGGTTCGCACCGGTTTGGCTGAACCAGTTGTTAAATTGCTGGCTGGCCCCTCCCCTCCCCTTCCAGAAGTCCCCCCTGCGACCCATTTTGGTTCCTAGGTAAGTGCAGGGAAGCTTACTAGACCCAAAACAGGATGCATGGGGGTGTGGACCGTTTTGGGCCTAGTAAGCCACCTAGGAGGCTGCAGGGGAGGCCCACAAGACCAGTGGTTGCCAACCAGGGACTACTGGTGGCCTGTAAGAAAATTTTGGTGGTCCACAGAGAAATGTCACCCCCAAAGCAATCAATCCAGGAAAGGAAAGGATAAGAGAAAGAAGGAAAGGGAAAAAAGGGGGGAAAAAGGAAAGGAAAGAGAATAACAGAGTTGGAAGGGACCTTGGAGGTCTTCTAGTCCAACCCGCTGCCTAGGCAGGAAATCCTACACCAGACAAATGGTTATCCAACATCTTTTTAAAACTTCCAGTGTTGGAGCATTTTACAACTTCTGGAGGCAAGTTGTTCCACTGATTAATTGTCCTCACTATTAGGAAATTTCTCCTTAGTTCTAGGTTACTTCTCTCCTTGATTAGTTTCCATCCTTATTGCTTCTATTTCCTGCCTTCAAGTCCTTTGGAGAATAGCTTGACCCCCTCCTCTTTGTGGCAGGCAGCCTCTGAGATATTGGAAGACTGCTACATGTCACCCCAAGTCCTTCTTTTCCATTAACTTAGATTAGTGACATCCTCTCAGCCGGTCCTCGCGCCTTGAAGATTTGCCTCACCAAAAATGAACAACTGAAAGGGAAAAGAGGCGATATTTGCAGGGCGTTTTAAGATAACGCTTTTCGCTTCCTTTCAGACATTCAATCCGCAAACCCGGGTGTTTTCCCCAAGCAAAGTCAGCAGAAGAGCCTCACGGAATAAGGGCAAGTTTTAGAAAGCATCCAAAATGCAAAATGTTGAAATTAACATCCGGATGGATTTTGCAATTTCCTTCGGATTTGCTGGTGATTTTTCCCCAAGGCAAACGGAGCATAAGGTCACTTTAAAGAGATTAGCGCTACCTCCATTCTCTGTGGCTGGGTGTGAAACACACTCCATTTCCTTCCCTGGAACATCTTGCACATATTATATTGCTCCAACTGGTTGTTGTTGGTTTTTTTTTTTTTTGTACTTCCAGCAAAGAAACTTTCCTGTTTATCGGTTTGGCCGAGCCAGCGTGGGAGCCAAAATGACAATTGTTAGCAAATTTGCCAGAAACGCACCATTTATTCCAGCTGCAGAGTTGGACTTTCCTTGAAAACAAGATCTTCGTTGCATGAATCCGAAATCCAGATAACCAAATAAAAAAATTTAACACAACAGAAACAGCTAGTCCTTGATTTACGACCATAATTGGAAACTTGGAATTTCCATTTGTGCGTTGTTGATGGTCGTAATTTGAGATGCCTCTGTGACCCACCTGATTTTACCAACATTTTTCCGGGGCTTGTAAAGTGAACACCGCCGTTGCAGAGTGAACAGCACGGTCGTAAAAAGAAAAAAAAATGTCACAGTTGTTAAGCGAACCCATTGTGCTCAATAGGCATTTTGTTTTTTCCAGAAACCAAAAGTAAATATCAAGTTTCTAGCAAAAAACAACAACCCCAAAACATAATAAATCATGGTCATGTGACTGCGGGAGAGTGCAAATGGCCGTAAACGTGAGAAGGTGACAAGTGTGATCACATGACCACGATGGAGGGCAGGGCCTGCTGTCAGAACTTTGAATCCCCGTTGCATCTTTTGGGGTGTCAGTCGTAACTTTGGAGGCTCACTAAGTGATCGGTCGTAAATTGAGAAACACGTGGACATGTAGCCAAGGAAGACGCCATCCTCCAGAGGCAGTTTCAGGATTTTACCCCTTTTCTGACTGGGTTCAAAAAGCCTGCGTTAGCTTAACCAGGTTTGTCAAAAATCCATTGGTACTCGAAAAGATATGAAATAGTATATAAGGTGAGCATGAATTTGATTTATGTCTGTACAAAAAGTTGTAACCCGGGGTTAAGCCGCTTTCTAAAAAGAAGTTTTATGTCTTTATGTTATGTATTTTGTTGGTTTATGTTTGTTTATTGAGAATTAATAATGTTGGATAAGAACATATGAAACAGTAATAATATGAAATATAGTAATATGAAATAGATGAAAGTTTAATGAATAAAATTGAACAGAAGTAAAGGAAGAAACAGTGAGAAGTTGGAAAAAGAGTAACAAGATATGAAGTTGAATACATAAGATGCATATTAAATTGTGTTTGTATGGAAATGTGATAATTTAGAATTAGGTTGTACTTAAATAAGATGTTTTATTTGTTTTGTTAAGTAGTTCTTAGAAAAGATGTTCTATGTTCTTATGTTTTATGTTTTGTTTGTCTGTGTATTGTCTTTGAAAGTTAATAAAATTTGTTGTTTTTTTTTTTAAAAAAAATCCATTGGTACTCATCTCCACCGGCTAATCGTGGTTAGTTGTTGCAAGCCAGAGGAGGAAGTATGGGAGTCAGAGGAGGAACAGCTGAGTCCAGTGCCTGACATGTGGATACACAGAAGGCAGAGGAGAGGAGAGCAGTGGAGATCTATGGGCCGGTCCCTGGGACGGAAGAGCTACTGCTGCTAGCGAAGCCCCACCCTGGCTCTGGGGATAAAAGGCAGGGGGCGGAGATGAATAGATGTGGCAGACAACGATTCATCTTCTGGCCGGCCGGACTTGTTAGCCTGCAAGTAAAACGCTTCGCCGGGGTTGCTGGCATTCCTAATAAGGGAATATTTTGAGTTCACGTCAAGAGGGTTTGTCGTATTTGGGGATCTGGGTCAGAACATTAGTTCAATCCCGGTTAGGTTTCTCTGCAGTTTTGAGCAGCTGCATCCGGATGTCTGCTTTTGGTTCTCAAGAGGAAAAGCCAGGATGTAACAGAAGAGTTGGAAGGGACCTTGGAGGTCTTCTAGTCCAACCCACCCACCCGCCTGCTCAGGCAGGAAACCCCACAGCATGTCAATTGAAAAGGGAATTGTTTACTTACTTCGTGTTTTCCCTTCATGTGGCAGATGTTGATGTCGTGTTTATTCGATCGCCAGGTCATTTTCTGTGTCAAGAGCGGAAGGACAAAAAACAACAACAACCCATCAATTAAAAAAAAAAGGCACCGTGGATAGCTTAGAATAATAGAAAAAAAAAATCGACATACATGCTGCCCCCAATCCTGACAAAACCACTGACACTGCAAATTCCAATTGTGGCTGCCTGGGGCGTCTTTAAATTTGTTAAAAAAAACTAACATTTCTGTCTACATCAGATTGGCCAAGGTGAATCTGCAACTTTAAAATGCATTTTTAAAAAACAGTTTATTTATATACTAGCTCGATACCCATGCTTCTTCGCTAGGAAACTATGTGGTCGGGCTTAGTTTTTGCGGAGGAAAATAAGGGGGAAAATTTTTGTCTCTGCCTACCAGCATCCATCGGTATTCATCTGGCTAGCGCCCTGTCAGTGTGTGAGAGAGTTGAGGGCTGTTTGGAAACTGAAGCAGTATTTGCTGTGTGAGCAAGGAAGAGACAGCAAGGAGCCTGGACGTGGCTTAGCTCAACTGTTCTGTACTAAAGCTGCTTGGTGCTCTGAAATTGAACCTGAACCTCCTCTCCTCTGCTTATGTTTTGCATTTGGAAGAGATTTCTTTTCAGGTGGGGAGTGGGAGTAGAACTCCTTAGCATCAGAGCGTGTTAATAATAATATAAGAATTTACTAATGCTCTGATGGTAATTTTGAAAAATCCTTTCTTAGCGAGCACCTAGAAGCCAAGAGGAACATACGGGCCGAATGTCCAGTTTGTAGGCTTTACGGTTCTGGAGATTTTGTGATGAAGCGTGAGGGGCATTTTGCTTTTACACACACACACATATATATATATATATGTGGATCTTTGGTTATTCGGGTTTTCTCCCGCGTAAAATTGGAAGTAACTTGGCGAAGTTTCGACAAAGTCTCATTCGTCATCTTCAGGCTTGTGTCTTCAGCTTTGTGCTTCTCAGAGTAATGTGAGCTCAAAGAAGCACAAAGCCGAAGACACAAGCCTGAAGAAGACGAATGAGACTTCGTCGAAACGTCGCCAAGTTACTTCCAATTTTACGTGGGAGAAAACCCGAATAACCAGTTCCCCCCCCATATATATTGTATGTATATATATATATATATATATATATTGTATATGTATATATATACACATACATACATATATATTTTCCTTAACATACAGCACCCATACACGATGTAATTTAAAAAAAATATACTTCATTGTGCAGAAATGGATAAGTTGACCTTAACGATAGAAGATAAAGAAGATACATAATATTTTCAAGTATTGATAAAATATTTTATCAATGGTTGGCCGACAGAAGCATAATGTAGAAATTGGAAAAATACTGGTATTAGGTATGCCTTATGTTTAACATATTATTATATTATATATGTTGAGGTATAAGATTTAATAGCTGCCAGCTACTGTAAATCTGATGCAATGTAAGGCTGATGCAATATAAGGCTGATGCAATAAGGATGAATCAGCATAGTATGGGTATTGCCGTTTCAAGACTAAGGTGGGGTCTACAGAAGTTTTACCATTTGAAGAGATGTTTATATAAAGGCAGCCCTTAGAGACGGCATGTTCTCTCTCCTTGTGTCCAGTATTCATTGCAGAGTTCTCCGTGTAGAGTTAAGAAGAAGACTGATTGCTTGTAAGGTATTTTGCCTACCACGTATATTTCTGTATATGTCTTATATATAAGCCACTGTTAAATGTCTAAGTTCAGGGGTGGGATTCTACTGGTTCAGACTGGTTCGGGCAAACCAGATGTTAAAGTTACATCTGGTTGTCAAACCGGTATTTCAACCAACCGGCTGGCTCTGCCCACCCCACCCTGCCCTTCCCGAGAGTCTCCATGTGTCCCATTTTCGATGGAGGTAAGTGCAGGGTCTACGCGGAGGTTCTGAGAGGAGCAAAAATAAAACGGGCCTTCCGGAAGTCCAGAGATGGGCCTGTTTCTGGCTTCCAGAAGTCGCGAAACGGGCCTGTTTCTGGCTTTCGGTGGGCCTCCACAGCACGGCGGAGGATGTTTTCGCCCTCCCAGAGGCCTAGGGGAAGCCTCCGGACTCTGGGGAGGGTGAAAGCTTCCCCCGGACTCTGGAGGCCCATCGGAAGACAAGGACAGGAAGTTCTGGTAGGCCACGCCCACCATGGCCACGCCCACCCAACAACCAGGCAGCAAACTGGTGGCTGGAAGTTTGAATCCCACCCCTGTCTAAGTCTCTGGGTGTTGTGTTTTGCCCCTGGGTTGTCCGATAACGGTAGTCACGCTGCAAAACGCCCTGACAAATGTACTATTCTGTAAGCAAACTGACCCAGAGGAGACGCCGTTTTTAACACACATGTACGTTAAGAGAAAATGTATACCCAAACTGTTTAAAATGCTTTTTTTTTTTTTTAAAGAACAATTCCATTGCACCTCCAGGAATTAGGGCACTTTTTTGGGAGGGGGCGGGGTGGGGTGGGGGAATTGTTCTCTGTTTCTGTCGTTTTCCATCTCCCAACCTGTCTTAGCTGGCTCTGCTCATGTTTGCCATTTGGTTATTCACCGTTTTACAAACGCAGACGTTTCCGTGTCTACAATTTTCCGTCAAGAATATTTATTTTTTGTAGAGACGCCAAGATGCGTGGGTGGGTATCTATAGTCCGCGCAGGTGTCTGGTTGTGTAGAATAGTGCTCAACTTACCACCATTGGTTTAGTGACCGTTGAAAGCTACAACTGCCGCTGGAAAAAAGGGGCTTACGACTGTTTTTCAAACACGGGACCGTGGCAGCGTTCCCCGGGGTCACGTGATCAAAATTTGGATGCGGGGGATAGCTGACTCGTATTTATGATGGTCGCAGGGTCTGTGTGTGTGTGTGTGTGTGTGTGTGTGTGTGTTTGTGTGTGTGTGTGTGTGATGCAATCCCCTTTGGCGACCTCCTGATCACCAACGTCAAGAGGGAAGCCAGATTCACTTAACGACCATGTGACTACCTGAACACCTGCACTGATTCACTTAACGACCGTGGCGAAGGTCGTAAAATGGGCCAGAACTCATTAACGAATGTCTTGCTTAGCCACGGAAATGTGGGGCTCAATTGTGGGCATAAGTCGAGGACCACCAGTACATACATACATACATACATTGATATGCATACACACAAGTGTGTGTGTGTGTGTATGTTTGTCTATGTATGTATTGTATTGTGTTACTATAACAATATATTTAATATAATATAGCAATAGCACGTAGACTTATATATTGCTTCAAAGTAAGCAGTTTACAGAGTCAGCCTCTTGCCCCCAACACTGGGTCCTCATTTTACCCACCTCGGAAAGAGGAATGGCTGAGTCAACCTTGAGCCTGGTCAGATTTGAACTGCTGGCAGTGGGCAGAGTTAGCTTGCAATGCTGCATTCTAACCACTGCATCACCATGGCTCTTGAGAGAGAAAGAGATGAAGGAAGGAAGGAAGGAAGGAAGGAAGGAAGGAAGGAAGGAAGGAAGGAAGGAAGGAAGGAAGGAAGGAAGGAAGGAGAGAGAAAGCAATAGACTTATATATGGAAGGATAGAAGAAGCATTTAGTGGAGAAGAAAGGAAGGAAGGAAGGAAATAGACTTATATACCGCTTTACAGTGCTTTTACAACCCTCTCTAAGCGGTTTACAGAGTCAGCCTGTTGCCCCCAACAATCTAGATCCTCATTTTACCGACCTCGAAAGGACGGAAGGCTGAGTCCACCTTGAGCCGGTCAGGATCGAATTCCTGGCAGTGGGCAGAGTCAGCCTGCAATGCTGCATTCTAACCACTGCGCCACCGAGGCTCATATATGCATATATATTATATATACATGCATGAATACACATGCATACATACACATATACATATGTGTGTATGTGCATGTATATATCAAATATAATACAATATATATTAATTATATTGTGTTGTATTGTATTATATTAATTATATTACATTAATGTTTTTTGTGTTAGTATTGCATGTATACTATAACAATATATTTAATATAATACTATAACAATACCCTGTTTCTCCAACAATACGGCCTCCCCCAATAGGAAGTCCCAGCATGTTTTACAGGCATGAAATGAAATTAAGTCCCTCCCCCCAAATTAAGGCCTATATTAAAACATGTGAAATGGAGGGGAATGGTGGGGGGGCTTGCCGTTAGGAAGTACTTTTGTTGCACACCTGGATATGGTGCTGCCTGCGTTGACCCCAATACGAAGTGCCCCACCAACGCCGAGGTCAACATCCAAGCCGTCGCCGCCCGCCCACCCAAAGATGCAAGGAGGGGGGGAATTAAGTCACCCCCGAAAAGATGGCCTAGCCATTTTTTCAGGGCTCAAAAAAAAATAAGACCCGGCCTTATTATATGAGAAACACGGTGTGTGTGTGTGTGTGTGTGTGTGTGTGTGTGTGTGTGTGTGTATTTTCTTAAGTTTTCACGGGTACTTACATGTATGGTATTCAGCTTTGTTCGGGTATTTTCCCACGTCATTAGACGAGCACAATACAGAAGCCTGATGATGGCAGATGAGATTCTGCTGAAACGTTGCTACAACTTTAAAAGCACAACTATAATGACATGGGAAAATACCCGAACAAAGCTGAATACCATACATGTAAGTACCCGCGAAAACTTAAGAAAACACACACACACATACACACACACATGCATGCATATACATGTGTATGTATGTGCATGTATGTATTGTATATAGCACATATATTAATTAAATCGTGTTGCATTGTATTAATTATAGTATATTACCATATATTATACATATATATTTTTGAGTATGTACACATTTGTTCCTAGTGTTTGCTAATCTAGTCTTGCTAATATTGCTTGAATTGTTCTAAAAATGCCGAACAGTAAGTTTCTATTCAAATGCATATAGCAAATATCTTTTTTTCCAAATTCCCTGTGCGAGAGTGCAAAAAATGCTTTTCCTTTTAATGGGGTTTTCTGGAGAGCCTCTCTGAAAAAGATCCCATT